TTTGTGGGGGTTTGTGGGGGGAAGGGGGGGGGGGGGGGGGGGGAGTGTGCGGCGAGAGGGGAGATGGAAGTTGATTTGTAACTTTAGGAGACCTAATAGTGACACCTGCTGGAGAAAATGTCAGAATAAGTTGGAGGATCTGCTGTTTTTTGTTTTTATAAATATGTTTTATTGATTTCAGAGAGGAAGGGAGAGGGAGAAAGAGATACAAATATCAATGATGAGAGAGAATCACTGATAGGCTGCCTCCTGCACGCCCCCTGCTGGGGATCAAGCTCAAAACCCGGGCATGTGCCCTGATTGAATCGAACTCTGACCTCCTGGTTCACACAACCACTGAAACACACCAGCCAGGCCAGAATAAGTTTTTAATCCTTTGACTTTTTAAAATTTTAGATCAGTTTGTTTCTATTAGTCAGGAAGAAATTTGATATTTTACCATAGGAGTGCTTGTAATAATTATATATAATTAAGTTTACAGTAGGTTCTTTGATGTTCTAAAAAAATTACAAATAAAAATATTTTTTCTTTTTTCAGGATAAAGTCATTTTGGGAACTGATTACCCCTTTCCACTAGGTGAGCTGGAACCTGGAAAATTGATAGAATCCATGGAAGAATTTGATGCAGAAACGAAGGTATATGCCTTTTATTTCATGGACTTCTTCCTGTTTTCCTCCTCTAATTATGTTTGGTTTCAGAGCACTTTGATATGTGATATCAGAGAACAGGGAATTTTTACACTTAATATTCTTACAATTGTTACTAGATCACCAGAAATACTAGTAGATGGACTATTAAAGGACCAAAAAAAGTTTAAAAGCTGAAAGTCAACCAAATACAACTAAATTTATAAAGGTGAGAAAGAAAACTGCAAAGAAGCATATCATAATAATATATTTATGTTTGCACGTTAGAAGAAAAATGTCTAAATTTTTAATTTAATATTTCTCTTACAATCTACCAATCTCAAAAATTGTAATGATTCTAGTAATTTGAATATTGAGACTAAAGTCTTGATTAACAAGGACCCAAGGATGAGAACCCTCAAGTAATTGGGTGTTTTTCTTTAGGCATTTGACTTTTAAGGTGGGTAAATGTGCCATAATGCTGCCACTGCCTGTTCTACCCCTTAGACTCCTGAACCAAGTACAGTGGGGCCTTGACTTACGAGTTTAGTTCCATGACGGAGCTCGTAACTCAAATTACTCGTATGTCAAATCAAGAAGTGAACGAGTGAGACACGTGATGCTGGGCTGATGTTGTGGCATTCACTGTGACGTTCGCTGCGCCAACTAGCGGTGAGGTATCTGAAGCTGGCTCGTAACCCGAATTTTAGCTCGCAACTCAAAGCAAAAAATCGGCCAAGAGACGGCTTGTATCTCAAAAAACTCGTTAGTTGGGACACTCATAAGTCAAGGCCCCACTGTAGAGTTAAAATGAGATGCATTGTCCCCGATTCTCTCATCCTTGCCATCCTTGACATCCCCTCCCCCACTACCCCCAACAAAACAAGTTCTTCCGGAGGTCTTCACCACCAATCACTACACAGGGTCAGGGATGGCCAAAAATAAAACCATGTGGATATACAGTATAAACTCTTAACAAATCACACAAGTCGTAGTCATAATCCTTTTGTATAATACTTGGCTTTCTTCTAAACTAGAATCCATAAGTTCTCTTGGTCTCTAATTCTCTGCTCTAATCGTTAAGGATTTAGTGAAGCACATTACAGATGCCAAGAAGAATCCACTCTGCTTACTGGTTGCAAGTTATTAACTAGGAAACCTGAGACTACTTTATATAGGAAGATTCCCTTGGCACTGACCCATCTTAAGGCACTTATAGTCTTGAATTGTTAAATATTTTCTTATTAAAGTAGGAAGCCATAATAAGATCTTTTTTTACTTTTTCTTTTTACAACAGAAGTTGAAAATGAAAAACTATCTATAAAATTAATAAAAATTAAACTGAAACCAGGTTACCCCAAGCATCCTGATTAAGAGTTTAATGTAATAATAATTACTTCATCTTTTATTATTTAATTTTATGTGCTTATCACTTTCAAGTTTTAAAATATCTTGTATAAAAATTTTATACTGTCACAAATATAAATGACATTTTGTACAAGGTTAATTACTGCAACATTGCCTGTAATAAAAGACTGACAACAATCTATAGGAGAATAGTTACATAAGTAATAATGGAATCTATACAGACATAAAAAATACTGAAAATGAATTTATAAGACATATTAAATTTAAAAAGCAAGGTGCCAAACAATATATATAGTATATTTCCATTTGTGTATAGTATACTATCCATTTGTGAAAAAGAATCTCTATATACCTAAATATAGGTATTTGCTTATATGTGTATATCTCTAGAATAACAAAAAACTGATGGCTGCACAACTCTGTGAACACACTAAAAATCATTAAATTATATACTTTAATGGGTAAAATGTATGGCAGGTTAACTATATCTCAAGAAAGCTGTTGCAAAGTATGTAAATAAAAATACATTCCATTACAGAAAAAAGGATAGCTATCTCTGGGAAGATAGCATCCATTTTATAATTTTGAGCTCCAAAGTTAAAAAATCGATCATGATATCTAGATGTATATATGATATGGATGTTATACAACCCCATACATGTTTCCTCCCACCCTCAGCTACATGCCTGACCTTTGCAAACTGGACAATTTTCAGTTAGCGTATCACAAAGTTACCTCTCAAATTACAGGAGTTCTTTCTGTGAAGTTGATTTAGTTTATAGCTGGGAGAAGGTGAAAAAAATGTGGCAGGCCTTTTCTCATGTGAAATTGATAAATGTACACATTTGTACATTTATTCTGAGACTCTTCATCTATATCACTTTTCCTGCTCTGGAAGAGTTCACTTTTATTTGGGACTGTGCAAAAGGACAACACATGCCTGGAAGCTGGGGGCGGCTACATGACTTCCAGCTCTGCTGTTCCACAGTCCTAAACTGTACCTTTTCTCTGTTTTGCCTCCAAATAGTCCTTAAAAACCATTGAGAGTCCTGTTGAAGTTCCCAAAGAGCATTTTCCTAAGAGGGTTCTCTCTCCCCCTTATAATTTCCCCCTTTCCTCCTACAACCAAGTTTCAAACATGGGGCAAGAGGATTTGGGTAAGAGATTCATTGTTTAACCTGCTAATATTTTTCTCTCACGTTGGGGAACTGATTTTTTTAAAGCCTGATAAAGACATCCAATAAAGGACTTAAGAACAACCATTAAATAATGCTTTAAAATAAAACCTTTTCTTTTTTTCTTTTTTTTCAGGACAAACTCAAAGCTGGCAATGCCCTAGCATTTTTGGGTCTTGAGAGAAAACAATTTGAATGACTGAATTCACTACAAAGGCAATCTTTCAAGAAGATATGTTATTCTTGTTTTTAAATATGTATCACACATGCATATTAAAATCCTATTTTGAACTATTTTATCCAGAAATAGAATATCCCTGAGTATCCTAAATTATACATAACAAAAATGACTCACATGTGTTTTTCACTCTGAAAAGCAGTACATTATTTCACATGCAAACCAAAAATGATTTTCCCAGCACTTTAAAAATTAATAGCAGAAATAAAATGCAAAATGTCATTAATGCTTTATATGGAAAAAGCAAAACTGGATTCACCCTAGAGGACTCAAGTAGGTTCTCCACTTTGAGCAAGTATATGTGCTGAGGGCCCAAATAACCCATTTTTATTCAATTTAAACACCTTCCATTGGCCCGTAACTGGTCTGGGAATGCTTTAGATGCCACAAACTAAATGCTGTAAATATTTCATAACCTGTAGGAGCTTATAGTTCAAATACGGAGGCAAGTCACATGTTCATGAAATAATTACTAAGCAATGCAACGTGAGTGTCACAGAAGTTTCAGTAAAATTCATCTGGACTCAAACTTTTGGGAGAATCTTCACCGAAGTTGGAACTTGGAGTGAGTCTAGAAGGATGGAAAAGGCTTATGGAGAGTTGGAGGTGGTAAACAGATAGGAAGGAAAAACTGTGGGAATAGAGTTTCAGACTAAATGACAATTTATTCTGGAGAAAAATTCCAGGCTATAATTTACTTTTACCAGAAGCTATTTTATTTTAAAATACTGAGTAGAGCGTGTAAAGCTAGCCGTAGAGACCGAGAGCAGAGCAACACCAGGGTAGCCTTACTCTACTCACTTCATTTGTGGTCCTACCTGGGCTGCTGAAAATGAACTTGGAGGGGTGATAAACATGTGTTTTGTGTACCTCTGGCTGAATTCCAAAATCAAATATAATTTTTCAAAACTACCCTCTTGCTTTGACTGATTAATGCTCATATTCCCTCCCATTGGCCCAGAAAAATTGAGTATTGGCATGTAATTTATGCTAATATAATTTTTGCTAAACTACATCTATTCCATTATTTTTACTTTACTTGGTACATTACTCCATCTCTTTGTTGCTCCTCCTATTGCTTTCTACTACTTTACCCACCCACCGCTCTGCTTATTACGCCAATCTGCCTGAAATGGAAAACAAGGTTGAACAAAAGAGCAACATGAAAGATGTTATTTTTCCTTCCCCATTATTTAGGGGAAAGGTCCATCCCTCCTCAAATATTCTATATTTGAGCACTTTTTAACATAATGTTTAATTACTGTTTTATCATGAAAAGTAACCTGATCATTTCAGTAAATATTAATATCATAGATAGGTTGATAAATAGATAGATAATGAGGATATTCATATTCATATTCACAGAGTGTTTACGTGATGTGCGAGCTGTAGCACTGGGGATATAGAATAAAAGGGATAAAGAATAAAATTTCTTCTCTAATGAAGCCTACAGTCTGGAGGGTAAGAAATATAAGGAGGGAGAGAAGAAGGAGAAAGGAGGAATGGATTGGAGGGGAAAAGGAATGAAGGAAGGAAATTTTTCTGATAAATACGATGAAGCGGTTAAAATGGGGAAATGTATAACGGGACTATGAGAAGGATAGGGAATAAGACATTAAGTTGTGGGATCAGAGAAAGCCGCTTTAAAGAAAACTTTGACCTAAGACTTGAGTGATAGAACAGTAATAGTTAGAAAGCCCTTCTCTACACCCAGATTAAAGAGGAATTTACCCATCTTTCTTCTAGTGCCTGCATAGTTTCATTGTCTTATGGTTAAATCTTTGACAATGTTGGAGTTATCCTTACATATGATGTGGGGAATGAATCTAATTTTATTGCAGATTATTTGTTATTGTAAAATATTGAAAATTATATATTGTCCAAATGTAGGAGACTGAACAAACTATAGTACACACATGTACAGATACCTAGGAGTCAACCTTGATTTCTTTCTTTCCTGTCCTCCCTCTTCCTTACATTCAGTCCATCATCAAGTGCTGTTGGTTCTACCTATGACATCTCACAACCTCATTCTATTATTCTTGCCCAAGTCACCGTCATTTCTTGCCTAGTCTCCTTACTGTCATTCTTGACCCCTTAAGTAATTCTCTACACAACTGCTAATGTGGTTTTTCCTTTAAAAGAAAAACATAAATCAGACCATATAACAGACTTATTTTTAAAAGACCAATGGCTTACTATAAAACTTATAAAAATCTAAACTCTTGATCATGGCCTACTTATCTGGCCAACTTTCCAGCTTCTTCTACCTCTTTCCCCCTTGTTCACAAACTCTGCCACAAGCTCTTTCCTGCATAAAATCAGTAAGGACATCAGCTTTAAACAGCACGTTAGACCAGAACATTCCATCCAAAAGCAAAAGAATATGCATTCTTCGCAAGTGCACATGAAACATTCTCCAGGAAAAATCATATGTTAGGCCACAAAACAAGTCTTAATAAATTTAATGAAATTTAAATCAGATCAAGCATCTTTTCCAAACAAAAGAGTATGAAAATAGAAATCAATTATAAAAAGAAAACTGGAAAATTCACAAATATGTGGAGATTAAACAAAATACCACGGAACAACCAGTAGTATAAATTCCACTCCTCATCTCTCACCAGGACTATTAAAATAATCTCTTATTTATACCCCTGACTCTGGGCTTAGTCTGATAAAATCCAGCTGCCACCCTGTTGCCAGAGGAAAATTTCCAAAGTACATATCTGATCATATTACTCCCTCTCTCATAATTTTTCATGAACTAAAGTAGTGGTTTCTAGTTTGGGGGATTTCCTTGATCAATACCTCCCCCTTTTAAAAATTGTACTGATATATCTAATAAAGCACACCTCTCATTTTAAATTGCAATTGCTACCTTCGCACTAAACTGGGACTTCCTTGAGAGCAGGAACAAGCCTTCATTCACTCATTCCCATGCATTCAACAGTACTTTTTTGAGGGCCTGTTATGTACCAAAAACCAAGTTAGGTGCTGGGATAATGTAAGTAAAAATAAACATAGTTCCTGCTCTCATGGTGCTTATAATCTAGTTAAGGAAACACTTATCAAGTAAGCAACAAATCAACATAAAATTGCTACCAAGACAAGAGCTATGAAGGAACACAGAGTGTGTAGAGAGCTTATAATAGGGATCTGGCCTAGTCAGAGTTGGGGAGAGACTTTTCAGAAGAAGTGTTGCTTAAGATGGAATTAGGAAGAGGAGACAAGAGCTAAAAGAAGAAAGGGAAGAGTATTGGACAGAGAGAAAAGCATAAATGAAACCCTTATGGCAGGGGAGAACATGGCAAGAAATAAGACCATTAAGTCTAGAGATAATAAAGCAAGATGTTCTTGGTATAAAGTGGCAAGATCATGTGGGGTCACAAGTCAATCGGGGAATTTATCCATCAGAAAGCAATGAGGTTTTTAAGGAAGGGGTAACATAACTAGAGTTGAATTTTTAAAAGAACCTTCTGGCCCTGAAACAACACTGTTTATACCCAGGATCTTGAAAGTCTCTCAAGGAAAATAACTTTTTCAGCCCTTTCTCTCCTTTGTTATCTAGTGTAAGTACTTCTTCAAAATAAACCCCTGACAAAAAATCCCAGCACCATCAGATTCCAAAGGACAAGCATGCCTAGCCATCCAAGCATTCCTCCTCCTTTCACACAACCCTTCCCCATCTCTTCAATCTCTCCTAAAAAGGAAACCAGCTCTGACTCAACTCAATTTATATTATCCAACCAGAAAACTTGAGCCTATATTCAAAACAATTACTTAAGATTAGCTTAATTTAAATAAATACCCACTTTATATTTGACTTAAAGAGAAAATTCTTACCTTAACTAATAAAGAATTTTAAAAAAACATACAAAAACTAAGGATATCTAAATAAAGAGGGGCTTTAGTTAATAACAATGATCAATATGGATTCATTAATTTAAAAAAAGAGACAATTCTGAGGCTTTTTCCTCAATCAAAATAGAACAAAAGTGGGTTGAAGTTTCCATTTCTGAATATAGAACACTGCTCACAGCCTAATAAAAAAATGTAGTTTATTTTTGAAAAGTCAATACATAAACACATTAGAAGAGTTCAAGATCAAATTCAAACTGTCTCCCAGAGGAACCAATTTTCTGTGTGTGTGTGTGTGTGTGTGTGTGTGTGTGTGTGTGTGTTCTTACAAAGATAGTCTACAGTTATACAAATACTTACATGTACATATTCCTTTGTTCATTTTACCTAAACAGTAACATCTTGCTTTTCCCCCTCCTACTAAATATCTTGGTGCTCATTCCACATATAAGCTGCCTTCATTTTTATTTTTTGTAAGCTTCTTTTATTTATTTATTATTTCTCAGTTACAGTTGACATTCAATATTTTTTATATTCGTTTCAGATATACAGCATAGTGGTTAAATATTTATGTAACTTATGAAGTGATCCCCCTGATAATTCTAGTACCCACTTGGCACCATACATAATCTATATATATAAAAGCCTAATATGCTAAGTGTCCTTCCAACCATTCAACAGGTAGCTATGACACACACTGACCACCAGGGGATAGACCAGTGATGGCGAACCTTTTGAGCTCGGCGTGCCAGCATTTTGAAAATGCCCTAACTTAACTCTGGTGCTGTGTCACATATAGACGTTTTTTGATATTTGCAACCATAGTAAAACAAAGACTTATATTTTTGATATTTATTTTATATATTTAAATGCCATTTAACAAAGAAATATCAACCAAAAAAATGAGTTCCCATGTCATCTCTGACACGCGTGTCATAGGTTCACCATCACTGGGATAGACGCTCAACGCAAGAGCTACCCCCTGGTGGTCATTGCACTACCACAGCGGGAGCGTCGCTCAGCTGACCAATGGGCACCAGAGCCCGGGCTCATGGCTGGCAAGCACAGCTGTGGCGGCACGAGCCTCTCCAACAGACACTCCACCTGCATGCCCCACCCCAATGAAGACCAGGACTGGGATCAGGACCAGCATTGGGACTGATTGAGCACAAGCCTGCGGCCACTTTTCAGTCACGGGCGCGCCGGTATCGCCCTAGGACAGGTGTGTGAAGACCACAGCAGAGCGGCAGGCGCAGCAGGGCTGGGATGAGTGGGAGACGCCTGGCGCACAGCCCAGGCTTGGGCTCCTCCTCAGCTGCCTGCCACTTCACACACTACATCCATCAGGGGATGTAGGACTGCCAGTTTCAGCCCAATCCCCGCAGGCCAAGCTGAGGGACCCACCAGTGCATGAATCTGTGCACCAGGCCTATTGACCACTACAGGCCTGGTGCACAAAATTCGTGCATGGGGGGGTGTCCTTCAACCCAGCCTGCACCCTCTCCAATCTGGGACCCCTCGGGGGATGTCCAACTGCTTGTTTAGGCCCGATCCCTGTGGATTTGGGCCTAAACCAGCAGTCAGACATCCCTCTCGCAATCTGGGACTGCTGGCTCCTAACCACTCACCTGCCTGCCAGCCTGATCGCCCCCTAACTGCTCCCCTGCTGGCCCGATTGCCCCCAACTGCCCTTCCCTGTTGGCCTGATCTTGCTCCCAACTGTCCTCCCCTGCCAGCCTGATGGCCCCGAACTGCCCTACCCTGTCGGCTTGGTCTCCCCAGCTGCCCTCCCCTGCCGGCCTGGTCGCCCCAGCTGCCCTCCCCTGCAGGCCTGGTCGCCCCCAACTGCCCTCCCCTGCCAGCCATCTTGTGGCGGCCATCTTGTGATGACTTGAGGGCATCGTGTGAGGGCATGAGGACCAGCTAGGCTTTTATTAGTATAGATAGTCCCTATGCTGTACTTTACATCCACATGACTATTTTGTAATTACAATCTGAACTTCTTAATCCCATCTCTTTTTTTCACCCAGCCCCTCAACTGACCTCCC